AGATAAAAATACAAAGAATCAATAAATTAAAAAGCTGATTCTTTGGAAGAACAAAAAAATAGACAAATCCCAGGCCAATCTTACCAAAATAAGAAAAAAGACCCAAATAAATACAATTAAAATGAAAAAGTTGAGCCAGATGTGGTGGCACATGGCTGTAATCCTAGCCCTTGGGAGGCAGAGGCAGGAGAATCACTGCAAGTTTGAGGCCGACCTGGCTTCCATAGTGAGTTGAAGGCCAGCCTGAACTACATAGCAAGACCCTGTCTCAAAAAAAAAAAAAAAAAGTGAAATCACAATGACTCTGCCGAAATCTAGAACATCATTAGTTACTTTGAGAACCTGTACTCTATTAAAATGGAAAATACAGAAGAAATAGATTTCTAGATACATATAAACTACCAAAGCTGTTCCCAAGAAGATGTTAAAAATCTCAAATAATCTAATGGTAGGCAATGAAACTGAAGAAGTAATAAAAAAACTACCACCTCCTGGAAAGGCCTAGGTTCTGATAGATTCATTGCAATATTCTACAAGAACTTTAGGGAAGATCTAATAGCAATGCTTCTCAAACTCTTAATGAAATCAAAAGGGAAGAAGTACTCCCAAAGTCATTGTTGAAAGCTGGTATTACCTTGATTCCAAAACCAGACAAGGATCCAACTAAAAAAGAAAACTATAGGTCAATCTCTTTAATGAACATGAACACAAAAATCCTCAATAAGATAATGGCAAACAGAATGCAACAAATGATCAAAAAGATCATACATCATGACCAAGTAGGATTCATCTCAGGAATGCAGGGATGGTTCAACATACACAAATCAATAAACATAATACATTACACAAATAGAATCAAGGACAAAAACTACATGATCATCTGAACTGATGCAGAAAAAGCCTTTGACAAAATCCAACATCCATTCATGATAAAAACACAGAAGAAAAACAGGTATAGGACATTATTTCAATCTGATAAGTCATTTATGACAAACCAATAGCCAATATCATATTAAATGGAGAGAATATGAATGTTTTCCCGCTAAAATCAAGTTGGGCTAAATCCTGTCACTTGGAAGACTGTGGTATGAGGACTACCATAAGTTCAAGGCCCATCTGGGCCATGTAGCAAGACCCTGTCTCAAAAAAACAAAATCAGGAATAAGACAGGGATATCTGCTATCACCACTCCTGTTCAGTACAGTTCTCGAAACATTCTCCAGAACAATCAGGTAAGAGAAAGAAATTAAAGCGATATGTACAGAAAAGGAAGAAGTAAAATTAACATTATTTGCAGATGACATGATCCTCTTAAAAAAAAAACCCAAAAATTTCCACCAAAAAGACTCCTAGATTTAATAATCAAATTCAAGAGACGCTGGAATAAAGCAACACGAAGAGAAGAAGGGGGAAGTGGATCCCTAGGACCCAGCAAGGATCTGAACTAAGAGTTGAAGCCCATAGGGAGAGCAAAGAAAGACCAACAAAGAAGGAGGTGGCAAGTGGTGCTTTCTGCCTGAGCCCTGACTCACTGCAGGGGAAGGGTGGCCCAAACCTGCAGACACACTGTGACATCTGGTGACCCTAGAGGCCTCTGTGGGGAAATACACCAGTGGAATGGAGCTGTGAATACAGCAGACTGCAGTGACTGCAGCTCCCAGCATCAGAGTGAGATGGAACCAACTTCAAGTCTGCAGGAGCTCAAGAAGCCAACAAATTGGGCTCTAGCCTCACAGCCAGAAACCAGCCTGAACCTCAGCAGAAAAAAGGTACAGGCTTGCTGGGATTATGCACTACTCTGCTGTAAATCTACAGCAGCCTTGCTGGGATTAATCAACATAGATCTGGGCTCGGTCTGGCCAATTTGTCTACCAGTGTCAACAGCAGAAACACATAATAAAGTGGGTTTTTTTTCTTATCTCCTCTTTCTTATGTTTTGTTTTTTCTTGTTTTTATGTAAGGGTGAACACTGTTTCTGGGCTTTTGTTGTTGTTCTTGTTTTTATTTCTACCCTCTTTCTTTTCTTCTTGTCTTCCTCAGTTTCTCAATGTTCTAACAATCTTCCTTTGTCCTCCAGCTTTACTTCTAATCTCTTCCGCTTCTTTTTTTTTTCCCCCAACCCCTGTTAAATTTTCTCCCTTGAGGATAGAGTTGCCATATTGAGGGCATACTGACTATATACAATTTTCTGGTTTGTTTTAGATTTTGTTATATAACCACAAATCTAGTTCATATGGCTAAAGATGGCAAATTAATGGTTAGCACAGTTTGTCATTTTCTAGGCTGTGCTTGATGATGTTCTTATTGTTGATTGTACTATTTTAATCAAAAACATCATAATTGTTCTAATCAGTAGTTTGTCCTGGTATGCCAGAACTGAGATCGCCTAAGAGGCATAAATAATACTATAGGTAAGTGCCAAAGAACCAAGGACTAGGCGAAATAGGCAGCAACTTCTCATCCTCAATAAAATGAAGAGGTAGGATTCTGCAACAGACTCAAACCTCAAAAGCCAGCTTTATATGGAGGACATCTCTGAGAAGTTGTCATTCTCTAGCAATAAAGCTACTTGCCATATCCAAGTTACATGCATCAACCCAGGAATTAAACTGAAAAAGAAAGACAGACAAAGAAAGAAAATGAGAAGACACTTAAGCAAGATGCAACCCCAAACTTCCAGCTCATCAAGGCAAACCCAGGGGGCAATGAGGTGGACCAATTCAAAACCCACCCTCCTGGACTCTCTGAAGTGGTAGCAGCGAAAGTGACAAAGCTAATGAATGAGGCTCTAGGAAAAAAATCAAACCAGAAATAGTGTCCCAGATAACTAGAGATGGTGACCATAATGAAAGACATGGTTAGTGACTCTAACAGATACAAATTTTTTAAAAAGTAGAGAAGCTTAAGAAAATGATGGAAACCATGAATGACCAACACAGGAAAGAAATGGAATCCATAAAGCAGATATCCAGGAGATTAAAAATTCCATTGAAAGTTTACACAGTAGAGTGAACTAATATGAGGAGAGAATATCAGATATAGAAGACAGGACTGTGGTTAGTGATCATGAAAAGAAAGACTTCTTAAAGCTAGCAAGGGACCATGAAAAATTAATCCAATCAGAGTCAATGAAAAACTAAGATACAGGGCAAACAACATAAAAATTCTGTTCACAGAAGTAACCACTTCTGTGATTGGGAAGAAAACTTCCCAAACAGGGAAAAAGAATTTGACATACAGATCAGTGAGGCACACAGAACTCCAACTAGCAATGATCAAAAAAAATCTACACCAAGGCATATAGTAGTCAAGATTCCAGAAATTCAATATAAGAACAGAATAATAAAAGCTGTTAGAGAAAAGAAATAAATTGCCTATAAAGGAAAGCCATCAGAAGCACAGCAGACTTCTGGACACAAACTCTCAAGTCAAGAAGAGCTCAGTGGCGCCTGCCTCACAAGCGCAATGTCCCGAGTTTGATCCCCGGTACCAAAAAAAAAAAATCTATTGATGTTTGAGATTTTACTTTGTATCCATCTAAGCTACTGAATTTTTTTTTTTAGTGGGGGTACGCTATGTAGTTCAGGCTGTCCTTGAACTCACTATGTAGCCCAGGATATGAACTCACATGTCGATCCTCCTGCCTCAGCCTGCCAGTGCTGGGATTACAGATGTGTGCTCCCAAGCCCAGCTTGAATTTGGTTATTAAATCTAGAAGAGTTTTGGGTTCTTCTATGTAGAGTATCATGCCATCTGCCAATAATGGTAATTCAACTTCTTTCTTTCCTATTCTTATTCCTCATTTCTTCCTCTTGTCTAATTGCTCTGGCTAATGATTCCAGAACTATATTTAGTAAGAGTCGTGACAGTGGATATCCTGGTCTTGTTACTGATTTTAGAATGAAAAGCTTTCAGTTTTTGTCCATTTAGTATGGCTGTTGGTTTGTCATAGATGGCTTTTATCAGATTGAGATAAAGACCATCTATTCCAATTTTCTGTAGGATTTTTACCATGAATGGGTGTTGGACTTTGTCAAATGATTTTTCTGTATCTATTGAGATGATTGTATGGATTTTGTACTTGCTTCTCTTAATATGGTGTATTGCATTTATTCATTTGCATATGTTGAACCATCCCTGCATCCCTGAGATGAATCCTACTTGGTCATAACCTTCATCAATCATTGTTACTCTCATGGGGGAGGGTGGGTAGGAGAAAAGGATGTAAAATGAATTAGGATGTGTTATGTGGAGTCTGACCTCTACCATTCTAGGCTGACTGGAGGCTACTTTGAGCCTCTTCCATCCCCCCATGCTTTTACACCTGCTAAAGCTGTATTATCTTGGGTTAATAAGGCCCAGTGGCCACAGCTACACCCGTAACTCCCACCACATCCTTCAACCCTGCTCCTGGCAGGCAGCCACCACTCCCTAATTCTCAGCCTTGTCTCTGCCAGGCAGCCACCACTCCTTTGACTAACCTCTCCCCCTTGAAAGGCCTATTTTGAACTTTTCCCTTCACAGCCTGCCTTTTATGCTCATGACCCTATAAAAGACTCCACAGCCTGTATGAAAGCGCCAAGCAGTCCCTCTCGGGTTGTCCTAAATAAACCTGTCCTGTTGTGCTCATGCCTTTGTTTTTCCTTTTTCCCTAACATTATGTATGTGTACCAACTCTCCAGCATGAATGCAATCATGATATACTGTAAACTTGTACTAATACAAATAAAAATATTTTTAGTCTCATAGAGATGTGCTAAAAATAAGTAAAAATTCTGAAATAATACAGGTTTGTTAATTTCCCTTTTCTTCCTTCCTCCCTTTTCCTTTTCTGCACAGGGGATTAAACCCAGCCCTTTTCAAACATTTTTTTAAATTCTGAGAAAGGGCTTCCCCAAGTCACTAAATTGCCCAGGCTGGGCTTAAATCTGATTTGATCTTCCTGATCCTCTTGCCTCAGCCTCCCAGAGTTCTGGGATTACAGGTGTGTGGCACCACACCTTGCTCAGAAATTTTTTCTTGCTCAGGATAGCCTTGAATATGTGGTTCTCCTTGCTTCCTGAGTAGCTGGGGTTGCAGCCACCACTCCTGGTGATGACAGAGTTAGAAAGGAGCACAAGAAATCGCAGTCCTATCTTCAGGAGGGTGAAATCTGGAAGAGGGCTTTCTAAGAAGTAAAAAGGATCACTATCATTATTACATTAATTTAGTACTATTTCAAATCTAGTACATGTCAGAGAAATACCATATAAAAATAATTTGAAAACTATGATGTGGTTGTATTTCCAGTTAATATAATTACTTTCTAAATAATATAATCAACAAAATAACAACAAACATGAAATATGCAAATGAATTATGGCACTTATACCATGCCAGCATTAAAAATGAAGTTTTCAGACTAAATAATGACATGGAAAAATGCTTTGTGATACACAGCAAAAAAGCTGGAAAAAAAAAAAGCTGGCCTAGATACAGAGGGTTCTAATTTTGTCAGAAATAGAGAGGTATATAGAAGAAAACAAATAGTTGGATGGTGAGATTACAGACAAATTTATTTCTTGAAATTCTTTCTGGATAAAATAAACATTTCAAAGAAGTTCTAATACTTAAGGCTTAATGGTGCATTAGGTTTCAATTTAACATGTCATACTAAAAACCCTTTTATTTTGTCAGATACCACAAAGCAGATAGACACAAGATAAAAAGTAGTAACTGAAAAGGGGAAAACTCAATACTAATTTAACTCTTTGTTTAGTGTATAAATTATGATATATCCCTGCCTGCTAGTACTGACTATGGCTCAATAAATAACATGCATAAATCTAATTCTGTCTTATTACTAAATCACACCTTGAGAATAATTATAACAATAAGAAGGATCACCTATTATGTCCATTGATAATGGACTGTGTGACTCCCCAGAGTGTTTTTCCATCAGCTCTCCTATATCACTGCATGAAGAGGACGAAGACAATCCCAGTCTAATGTATCTTCCTTTTTTACCACAGAGTGAGCAATCTACTGGCGTGGCACTAGGTCCTCGGGGCAGCTGAACTTGCTCTCTGTTGTAGTTTCTGACAGCTCCACTGTGATGTACAGAGCGTTCTCGTTGCCAGATGTAATGTGTTGGTGCAATGGCCATGACCTATAGTGGAAAGGTCACTTTTAGAATTCTAGTAAAATTTTAAAATTTAGTAAAATTAAGAACAAAAATTGTAACTCAGGAAAGCTGTTTCTTAATCTGAGATAAAAATCTAACTCACCAACAAGAAAAAAAGTGAAAATAGAAGAAAAAATGGAAACAAAGCTTTTGTACATAGGGAGGGGAGAGAGGTTGAGGGGGTGGAATGGGATCAAATAAAATTTATTAGTTAAAAAATCTAACTCACCAATTTAAAGACAACAATAACAAAACATCTCCAGATAAGGCAGTATTACTATTAAGTGATTAAACTGCTTGACTTAAGACAATAACTGACAAAGTAAACTATTACAAATAGGAAATAGAATGAAACAACCTTCCAAGTTTTTAGAGTGTTTATTTAAAAAATTCTGAATATTCCAATTATAGGAAAGATAGATGGCTCAAAAGACATAATTCCCTCCCTCTTTTTTTTTGGTACCAGGGATCGAATTCAGGACCTTGCGCTTGCGAGGCAGGGGCTGCGGAACCACTGAGCTAAATCCCACTGAGCTAAATCCCCGGCACCCACCCCCTTCTTTCTGAGATAGAGTCTCATTATGCAGTTCAGGCTGGCCTTGAACTCATGGTGATCCTTCTACCTCAGCCTCCCAAGTGCTGGGATTACAGGCATGTTTGTAATTGTGGCAAAGAGTAACAGTGAATAAGAACAAAGGTAAAGTACCTAATGTCTTTGTTCCTCAGTTTCCTAATCTATAATATGGAAATAATAGTGTACCCTGGAGAGTTATTTTGATTTTTTGAGACAAGGTCTCACTTTGTAGTTCAGGCTGGCCTGGAACTCAGTGATACTCCTACCTCAACCTCCAGAGTGCTAGGATTACAGACTGCCACTGTGCCTGGCTAATTGGTTTTTCTTGGCGGGGAGGGTGGATTAAGAGGAATAGATGAGATATGTGCGACGGCAGGGTCTCACTATGCAGTTCAGGCTGTCCTTGAACTCACTATATACCCCGGCCTGGCCTAGAACTCTGTGATCCTCTTGCCTCAGCCTCTGGAGTGCTGGTATTACAGGTATATGTCACCATGCCCAGCTCTCTGGCACTGTTTTATTAAGGCTAACTTTACTTTAGCTTTGGGATAGATTTAGTTTCTTATCATGGCTTTAGCACTGGTAGCTGTATGACTTGAGCAAGTTATTTAAACTTTGTGAGGCTCAGATTCACTATCTCTAAAATAGAGATGCTATCTACAACAGATTGTTCTGAGACTAAATGACATATATCTGGGTAAAATCCTTATCACATATTAATATCTAGGAAGTGATAGTTATTTAAGCAATCAAGCTAGGGAAGTATACCCTGTGCTGATTTCATAAATCTAAAACTTTTATACATTCTAGCAAAAATATTTAGTTGCAGTTATCTACAATCCAAAGTAAATGAGAATTGTAACATTTGAGAGCTAGACAGAGCCTTATTAATTGCTTAGATCAGTGATTGTCCAGTGTTTTAAAATGCCCAAGGTTTCCGAAGTGTATTAGGAGCCCTTGGAGGGACAAGGCAGAGCAGCTCAATTTTGGGGATTAAGAAAGCTTTCCCATTAAAACTTGAAAAAAATCCAGGACCTTGTGCTTGTGAAGCAGGCACAGAGCCACTGAGCTAAATCCCCAGCCCCCTGGTGTTACATTTTTAAAGTATATTTTAAGATTGAATTTATTTTATAGCCCACTTTTTAAATCCTTCAAATAAGTTTTCAAGCAAAAACATATACTAGCCAGGCGTGGTGGTGCATGTTTCAGGAGGCTGAAGCAGGAGGATTACTGCAAGGCCAGCCTGGGCTACACAGTAAATTCAAGGTCAGCCTGAACTACATAGCAAGATCCTGTCTCAAAACAAAACAAAAAACAAAATAAAACATTATGTAATAGGAAACAGAGGGACAGATCTTTTGAGAATGAAAAGGGGACCAAGAGATGGGGGTGCAGGGGAAGAGGACATAAAGAATTAAAATGTGTTACGTACATGTACCAACTCCTCACAATGAATGTAATCATTATGCACTTCAAAATGTACTATTCAAAATAAAAATCTGAAGGAAAAAATGCACAGAATGTTTAACTAGCCTGTAATCCCAGCACTCAGGAGGCTGAGGCAGGAGGATTACCTGAGTTCAAGGCCAGCCTAGACTGCATAGTGAGTTCAAAGAGAGATACTGTCTCAAAAAACAAATCAAAACAAAAAAATGCTTAAAGTAAAATTCTAACAGAATTTATCTTGCTATGTTAACATTAGGACAGGAATGATGTTAATTATTTTTTATAATAACTTCCCCATGTCCAACACTGAACTTGGTGTTATTTATAAACTAGCTGTCAAATGAATACTTTGAGAACAGAATAAAACCTACTAGGTAGCTGCCTTTTCTATACAGTAATATGTTTCAAATTGCTGGTTGGAAAAGCAGCAGCTCATCTAGCTGCCTTGGATTAAGGGGCAGGGCAAAGTGAGCACAGTGAAGAATTTTTTATACTTCATGGATAAGAAGGTATGAAAAAGAATTGGAAGTCTTAAATTTAGTGCATTCTATCAGTTAAATATTTCTGAGTATTTACCGTATGTCAGGGCCTGTTCTAGGCACTGGTGATACCATAAGAACAACATAAAGACCCTTCCCTCTTGGGAAAAAAAATATACATATAAATTTATATAAAATATATATAAAAACAGGAACTGAGGAACGAGGATCCCTTAGCCCAAGGATTTGCGGCTAGACTGGGCAACACTGAGACCCTATCTCAAAAAACCCAAGAAATACATAAATACATATGTGTATGTATAAACATATACATATATAAAACACATACGTACATATAAACATGTATACATATATGTGTATTATATATATTTTTTCCAGTGCTGAGATTAAACTGAGGGCCTTGCACATGCTAGGCAAGTATTCTACCACTTAGCTACATCCCAAGCCAGAATTTATATTTTAGAGGGAGAAAACAGAAAGATAACAGGCAGGATAAATACGTAAAAAGAGTATATTACATGTTGCTTAAATGCTATGATGAAAACTGGAACTGAGGAAATACAGATAGTGAAAAGTACTACTTTTAAAAACAGCTTCACTGAGATATAGTTCATAGATCATACAATTCATCCATTTGAAATGTACAATTAAGTAACTATCTAGAGTTATATAACCATTACATCAATTTTAGAGTATTTTAATCACCCCCCAAATAAAGCAGTCATACCCCATTCCCCCGTCCTCTGTCCCTAGTAGTCCACAGTATACTTTCTTTTTTATTTTTGAAAGGCTCACTATACAGTTCAGGCTGGCCTTGAACTCATTATGGAGCCCAGGCCTGGCCTCAAACTCATACCAATCCTCCTGCCTCAGCCTCCCAAGTGCTAGGGTTATAGGCCTGTTTATCTGTTCATCAACTGACAGACATTTAAGTTGTTTCCATTTTTGGCTTTACAAGTAACAATGCTATGAACATTTGTATATAAGTTTTTTGTTTTTTTAAAAAATGTATTTATTTTTTGTGTATAAATTTTACATGAACATAGTTTGCATTTCTTCTGGGTATATAGCTAAGAGAATTCCTGGATCATATGGTAACTCAAGTTTTTTAAAACTGTCAGAATATTATTCAAAGCCACTACACCACTTTACATTCTTATCAAAAGTGTGTAAGGGTTTCAATATTTCCACATCCTCACCAAGACTTAATTGTTATTCATAGACATCATAGTGAATATGAAGTGATACTTCACTGTGCTTTTGATCTGTACTTCCCTGATGGCTAATGAATTTGAACATCTTTGGTGAAATTTATTTTTTGATACTTTGCCCATATTTTAGTTGTTTTTATTATCATTATTATTATTTAGACAGGGTCTCACACTATGCAGTTCAGGCTGGCCTCAAATTCATGGCGATGCTCTTGCCTCAGCCTCCTGAGTGCTGGGATTACAGGCATGCGCCACCATGCCCAGCAGTTGTTTTAATTATTGAAAGAGCTCTTTACATATTCTAGATACAAGTTCCTTACCAAATAGATGATTTGCAAAACTTTCTCCCTTTTTATGGACTGTCAACTTCACTCAGTGTCCTCTGAAGTTTTAAACTGTGGTGGGTTTTTTTGTTTGAGACAGGATCTTGCTTTGTAGTTTGGGTTGACCTTGAACTCACCATGTATCCCAGGCTGGCCTTGAACCTGCAGCTATCCTTCTGCCTCAGCCTCCACAGTGCTGGGATTACTGCTGTATGTCACTATGCCCAGCTTGAAGTTTTAAATTTTGATAACATCCACTTAACTCATATATTCCTTTGTTGCTTGTACTTTTCGTGTCATATTTAAGAGACCTAACTGAAGGTCATAAAGATCTGTCTGTTTTCTTCTAAAATTTTTAGTTTTAACTCTTACAATTAGGTGTTTGATCTATTTTGGGTTAATTTTACATATGATATAAAGTAGGGATCCAATTTTATTCTTCTTTGTGTAGTCAGTTGTCCCAGCTTTGACATGGACAGCTAACAGATTATCTTCCAATTCATATTTAATTGCCTATTCTTATTTTATTGTCTGATTATTTCAAACTTAACATGTCTAAAATTGAACTTCTGATTCCCCCACAGAAGACTTCTTTTTCCCCAGGGTTTATTTCTGTCCTCAAAAATATTGAGGACAAACATATTGAGCACAAAAATACTGAGAACCCCTCAACCCTCTTTCTGGGGTCTAGTCCCAGCATCTCACGATGCAAGGAAGCATTCTACCACTGAGCTACACTCCTAACCCCTTTTTAAATTTTGCTGGGCTTGAACTTATTTTTATTTTGTATGTTTTGGGTTTTTGGTGTTTTTTTTTTTTTTGAGACAGCTTTCAGTTGAGGCTGGCTTTAAACTTACAGCTATCCTCCTGCCTCAGGCTCCTGAGAGCTGCGATTACAAGTGTGCGCCACCATGCTTGGCTGGCTCTGAATTATCATTCTCCTACCTCAGCTAACCCAACAACCTAGTAGCAAGGATTGCTGGCATGTGCCTCTGTGGCTGGCTCCCTTTTGAATTTTCTTGGCAATCTTGTGAAGGGAGACAGAAAAGGGGGGCGTGAGAGCCAGCAAGCTTCCTGAGTCTTCAATTCTATTCCACTAAGCTAGATATTACTTTACACAGGTAGAAAAAGGTCTCTGTCATGCTAAAAATTCTGATCCTTTTTATTATTCCACATGAGACATCTTTCTCCTGAGATCCTGCTCTATTCTAGCTGCTCTTTTCTAGGTATACAATTGCTGCTCAGTGCTCTTCATGTGTGATAGGCAGAAGCAAGTGCAATACTTCACAGCCTGTGATTGCTTCCTTTTTTCTGCAACCTAAATCTATATTTTCCTGTAAGTCCTGTTACATAACTGACTTTTCAGCTCCCTACACACTTTGTTTTGTTTTTTGTCTTTCACACTCACACTAATCATTCATACCATTCTCTTTGGCTCTTTACAGTGTGGTGCCAGCAGCTGAGGAAATTTCAGTTCTAATAACATGTATGGAGGTGGCTGCAGTTAAGATGCTAGTCACTGCAGTTGAGGGTGGGTAGGTGGGCAGCCTAGCTTGAGGCCACTACTGCCAGTCCTGGAGTCCTGCTTCTGATGTCCTGCTATGACCTTATCTGAGTATCCTACAAGCCCTCAATCTTTCACTTAGAAGAAGTTATTCAAATATGGCCCTATCACTTCCAAAGATGTGCAAATCATCCAGACCTGACCTGGGGGAGGTAGTGACAAAAAGCAAACAAAAACAAATGCAAAACCAAACCAAATAAGCAAAACTCTAGGACTCTTCTAATGCTCTGTAAATGGAATGAGTCTAGTTTAAATACTTTGATGAGGATCTATTAATTTGAGGGGGACTCATGTGCCCAACTTTTCATCTTTTTCTATTGAATTTAACCTTGAAAAGGCTTGGCCTGCTGTGTAGTCTTCTAAGTTATTTCTGAATACTTGCATTTCCCCAGGAGTCAACAATCCTAACTTAATTTAATCTGTAAATTTACATGTTTGGTATGTCTTCATCCCATTAATAAATATAATTCACAAGGTTAGTTCTGGGCAGAATTCTGTGACATACCACATACGTCTTTACTCAGGTTTGACACAAATCCATTAATTTGATTCTCTGGCCTGCAGTTATTTAACTAGATAGGATTTTCATTTAATTACAGAATTATCTACCCACATTTATCAAGATTTTTGAATTAGTACAAAAGTTTACAGTGATCGTTGCTTTTTGTTTAATTTTCTAGCATTTTTATTTAGTTTGAAACATTAATTTTATTAAAAACCAGAACAGAACTAGACACAGTGGTGCACACCTGTAATCCCAGCACTCCAGAGGCTGAGACAAGAGGATTTCTGTGAGTTAAGAGGCCAGCCTGGGCTACATAGTACAATGCCACCCTGAACTGCATAATGAGACCCTGTCTCAAAAAACAGAACAAAACAAAACAAAAACCCCAAACATTTGATAAAATAACTTTTTAAAATTTTTAGTGTCTTGCTGGTTTGTCTGACACTCCCTCCCCAATATGACACCAATTGAAACTTAATGTATTTTATGTGAAAAGTACTATGGTTTTTAAACATATATAAATATTTTTTATTTTATTTATTTTTGCTTTTTTGAAACAGAGTTTTGATATATAATTCAGGCTGGTCTTGAACTCACTGTAGTGTAGCCCAGGCTGGCCTCAAACTCATGGCAATCTCTGCCTCAGACTCCCAAGTGCTGGAATTACATGTGTGCCACCAAACCTGGGCTATAAATTTATTTAAATTATATACCTTGTTGTATTTTAATCTTAGGAACTTGGTATTTCTCATACTTTAGTGGAAATTATTACAATCTTCAATAAGATATTTTGGTATATCTAAGCCATACTTTACCAATATACTGGTGATCTTTTAGATAGGAGAAGCAAGCTAAAATAAAAATACTCACTACAGAAGTAACCTGCTCTGAAAAACAAATGACAATTTTTAATTAGTGTGGTATAAATTCAAACAGCAACATGGTAACACAAAGGTGTACTCACAGTAATAAGCAGGGTTAATGACCTATCCTTATATATACAAGAAAGGGAGAAATATTAGAAGCACATTAAAAAACAAGGAAAATTAGATAACAAATGCAAAGACTACATATATGAAGTATTTTTATATCCTTACCTCCTCACAGCATCGCCTGCTTACAATAGCCCTATAGTCAATTCTATCCCAGAGCTGGTCCCTTAACTTTAAGAAATCAGGGAATAATTTTCTCCAGTTTTTCCCTAAAGCCCACGGAAAAATTTCATATTTAGATTCTTCTTCATCTTCTTCAACTGTATTAGCCAGATACCTAACAAAGAGGATCAACAATCCAAAAAAGAAATGAGTAAGAACAAGAATGGTAGTTAACCAAAAGAAAAATATAAATGGTTTATAAACACAAAAGATGTTTAGCTTTACTCATAAAAAAATGTATAACAAAAGGAGATTCAGTGAATTTCACTTTGTTGGGTTCTGGGTATTTTTGTATTCCTATAAATGTTGAGCTTTGTTCTGGGATGCAGTTATTTGGAAAACAATCTAGTTCTTCAGGTCATACTTATAAAATTTCTTAGATGGATCCATAGCAAAGTTCATTCTGGGGCTAATAATTCCCCACTGCTAAGGCAAGACCTTCCTGAGTACTTTTCTCCATGAATTATGAGTTTTCAGTCTGACTGTGAGAACAACCATTGCTTCCAGCCCTCTGTGAATGAATGTAAGGAAGACACCGTTCTTAATCTTTGCTTATTATCTTTCCCTATACTCAAATAGTTTCTTTATATACATATCGGAATCAGTATTCTGCGGAATACTTGAGGGGACAAGGCATACATAAAAGCAAGAAAACACAATCCATAAAAAGAAAAAAAAAAACTCCACCAAAACCAATCCAAATTCACACATATAAGAACATTATAAGCGGGCCGGGGATTTAGCTCAGTGGTTTTGCCGCCTGCCTCGCAAGTGCAAGGACCCAAGTTTGATCCCTGGTACCAAAAAAAAAAAAAAAAGAAAGAAAGAAAGAAAAGAAAGAACATTATAAGTTATAAGTATTCCACATACTAAAAAAAGTAGACAACTGAAATGTGCTTCAAGAGAGAAAGACTAGTACAATGAAAAATACACTGAATGAGATAGCACATTAAACACTGCAAAAGAAAAGAAGTGTGAGGCATGCCAATAGATCTAAAATGAAATACACAGAAAAATAAAAATTATGAACACAGCATAGGCAGATGTAGGATAACTTTAAGAAATCTAATTAAGGTGAAAGTGGAGTCTCTTGTAGACAGCAGGTAGACAGAAAAAATTTAAAGAAATAATGGCTAAAAATTTCAAAATTTGATAAGAACCATAAATCTACAAAGAAGATAAATGGATGTCAAAGGTGAAGAAACATGAAGAAAATTATACCAAGGTACACAACAAACCAGTGATAAAATTTTATGTGAGGTCAGGAAAAAAAAAAAAAAAAACAGGAACAAAGATCAGGATGGAGCAGATTTCCCATCAGAAATAACACAAGCCCCACAGAGAAGTTTCCAGAAAATATGGGTAATTTACAACAAAAATACTACAAAATACACAGGGAACAAGGCATCTTTATTGTGGCTAAAATTTTCCAAGAGTTGTTTGTTGAAAGGTAACTATCTTCAAGCCCAGGAAGCCCATCAAATCTCAAGTAGGTTATAAAGAAGAAACCAGTGTCTACACCATAGAAAAAGGTGTTCAAATTAACTAGAAAGGAAGGCAAATAATCCCAAATGGATTCTTGTGATGTGAGAAGGAATGGTAAAGATATAAATATGTGGGTAAATCTAAACAAATATTAAATGTATAAACAATATTCCTAAAATTCCTAATTTGTTGGAAGGCATCAGGTACAATTACAGAATTGCAAAACAAGAGAATATAAGATGGATTCAAAGTCACTGCAGTTAAAATGCTTAAGCGTCTTACAATAAAAATAACTGGACAACTGCTAAAAGGTATCGACTGTATAACTTGCAAACAAGTAGAGGAAAAAAGATGTGAAACACAAAAAACCTCAGTAAAATAAAATGAAATGGAGGAGAAAGAAGACACACAAAAATGGGAGAAAAGAAAGCATTTAAGATGGTAGGGAAAAAATCCAAATACATAATCAACACTGAAATCTTATTCAGTCATAAAAATGAATAAACTTCAGATACACATAGAAATGTAAAGCAATGTAAAGGTTTCCTAAGCTGTCATCGTATGTATTACTGCAAGTTTACTTTTACTCTTTCACACACACATTCAAACACTTTGTACATATTTTATATCAAGAAAATTAAAAGCATGGGCCAGGGATTTAGCTCAGTGGTTTCGCCCCCTACTGCACAAGTGCAAGAACCCCAGTTCAATCCCCGGTACCAAAAAAAAAAAAAAAAAGAAAATTAAAAGCACAGAAAAATGTGTATACTTCTTTTTAATGTAGTTCATAACATACAAGTTCACATATAGAAAATTATTTCTAGACAAATTCTCATGAAACTTAACTGTCCTTGAGAAACGGGGGCCAAGGTATGAGATAAAGATCTGCTTTTAATTGAACACCTTCTTTGTACTTTTTAACCATGTGCATATTCATAGTTATAGTAATATAAAATGAAAACCTACACATTTATTTTATTCTCCCATAACACAGTTACGCATATTTTAAAATTACATTATAAAGTATGTTGTTAAACCCATTCTTTATGTAAGACAAATCATGCTCCCTGTGAAATTACATACTGTAATTTCCTACTCTGGTTTCCCTATTAGCTGGCCCCACACATGTTTGCTGACTAAACTATGAAAAATCTATATGTACTATGATGCTATGTGATTCTACTCCATTTTTTATTTGTTTGTTTGCTTGTTTGATTTTTTGAGACAGGGTCTGGTTACTTAATTTAGGCTGGCCTCAATTCACTGTGATCCTCCTACCTCAGCCTCCTGAATGCTGGGATCATAGGCATGTGCCACCAGGTCTGGCTTCATGATTCTACTATAGACTGACAATTTTTTTAGGCTCAATGTGACAAGATATCTTTATCATGTATATAGAAGTTCTTCTCTATTTTGAAACAGATTCTCTTTGTGCAGAGCCCATTTCTTTTGCCTGATAATTATGTTTATTCAAACAAAGAATTAAGAACCTATGTTAGTTATTAAAGGATGAAAGAAAAATAAGATGCACGTTCTTTGTGCTTAAGGAGTCTATAGTTAAGTAGAGAAAGCTAATAGCATGAAAGTAATGTAAAAGAGGATATGGAAGAGCAATAATAGAAGCTTAAGAGTGTTATAAGAATATATAGAAAGGAAACATTATTACGATTACATGGAAAGGAAAAGAACTTGAGCTTTAGAACTGTGGCTAGCTGGATGTGTGGCACATGCCTTGGGAGGCTGGGGTAGGAGGACTGCTGTGAGTTGGAGGCCAACCTGAGCTACACAGTGAGTTCAAGACCAGCCTCAACTACACAGTGAGGCCCTGTCTCAATAAAACAAACAAAAAAGAACTGTGGCTGAAGGTAATGAGAAGAGCTACTGAATCAGATTATCCAGAAAGAATGCTAAAACATAGAATGGAAATTAATATTCATGTTATTTTAAATAGAAACCTTAAAATACAACATGCATGCAATCTTACAGACTACGACATAGTATAAACTGAATAATGCTTAAAAACAAGTGAAATAAATCCAATTTCAGGCTCCTAGTAAGATTTAAACTAAAGCTTCTTGCCAGGCATGGTGGTGGACACCTATAACCCCAGCACTCAGGAGGCTGAGGCAAGAGGATTGTTGTGAGTTTGAGGTCAGCCTGGGCTACACAGTAAGTTCAAGGCCAACCTGGACTACTCAGCAAGACCCCGTCTTCAGTAAAACAAAAAACTAAACTAAAGCTTCTCTTAGTCCATCTGAAATCCTCAGGGGGGAACATCCTACAAAATGATATTATATTAATGTACAGATACAATACAATACTGAGACATATAAACAGAAATTTAACTTAGTGTTGTTAATAGTTGAATTCAGTCACACTGACTTTGCACCTCAGCTCTGCTCCTTATTTTGTGACTTTGGGAAGTACCTAATCTTTCTAAGTCTCGGTGTTTTCTTCTGTAAAATGAGGAATAACAAAATTTTATTTCATGGGCAAGACTAGATGTTTAATATATAAAACCCTTGTGGTACCTTCCATATAATACTCAGTATTAGCTAACACTATTATACTATATTCTTCCAATTTAGCAATCATCTCCAAATTTTAAAATGAGTTCAATTTTCCCCTATGCACTAGAAAATGTTCCTTTAATTAATGCAGAAGTCAGTTTTTTCTAGTCCTGCTTCTTTAAAATTTTATTCATACTACATTCCCAACTGCAGCATTATATCCAGGTACAGAGTAAAAAACCAAATACTTTCTTTTTTTTTTGGTGCTGGGGATTGAACCCAGAGCCCCACATATGCTAGATAAGCACTCTACCACTGAGCTGTACTGCCAGCTCCAATACATATTCTTAAATTATATCTCTTCTAGTTGGATTCTAACCTATAGATTGGAAAACCATATCATTAAAACCATTTAACAGATTACAATGCTAACATGAATCACTGTAAAGTCAGTGGAAAACAAACTATATTCCTTTACCACATTCCAGTATATTTGGTAAAATTATCAGTGGACATTTGAAGTATTAAATATAAATAACTTATCTTATGAACATAAACTCACAAAGACCATGTCTAAAACATTTTTGAGCCAGGGATGTTGGTATGTGCCTGTAGTTTCAGCACTTGGGAGGCTGAGGCAGGAGGATCATGAGTTTGAGGCCAGCCTGATTCTACACACCAACTTCAAGGCCACTCTGACTACATAGTGAGATCCTGTTTCAAAACAACCTATCTGATCCAAGCTATTCAATGTAAAAAGATAATGACGGTGGTGATTTTTACTATCTATTCCATCTCAATTTAAAAAGAATATTCTAGCTTTGAAAAATCTAAGTCATAAACAGGAGAATTTGGAATAATTTATATGGGAGCACCATGAAAAATGTCAAAGGTATAATACAAACTCAAGTGGAATACTGAACAATAAATCTTAGGAACACGTCAGTGAAAAGAACAAAATTTTCCTATTAAAGTAAAAAATGTATAGCTTTTATATAGAAAGGCCTATACAAAGATATTCATAAAGTTTTAAAATAGCTTCTGTTTTAAGTAAGATATTATACATATTATAAACAATACAAAGAAAACATACTTACAAAGCAACAAAGAAATTTATCCTGGTATGCTCATTTATAGTAAACTTAGCTCTCTTGAAATAAACAAAGGTCATAGCCAAAAGATACTATAAGAAAAAAAGTTAGAAATTAATAGTTTTGTTTTCATAAATAAAACTGCATTTAATACAGTTATTTTAAAGTTTTCTGATTTTTTATCTTATTAGAGAATCACCTATAGAACCCCTTGTTTCCTGTAATTAATCCATGTAGTGAGAAATAGTTGACCATTACGATTAAAATTAACTAGATGGACTCCTACATTTTATTATAGTCAGTTTAAAACCTTACTTTTAAAACTTAAATGTCAAACCTACAGAAAGCTGAAATAACAGTAAAATGAATAATCACACATTCTTCACCTCTATTCATATTTGCGGCATTTGTTTGGTATCTGTGTATGTATGTATATACATACATACATACATACATACATACATACATACAAACTTTCCTCTGAACCCTTTTAGTTACAGACATCCATACTCACTTTCTTTTTCAGCAGGGTGCTACTATTTTGTGTAAGGCTGGTCAGGAACTCCTGGCCTCATGTGATCCTCCCACCTCAGCCTTCCAAGTGCCCAGACTAACAGGTATAATGCCACTATGCCCAGTCACACTCGCTTTTTTTTTTTTTTAAACATGCTGGAGATTATACCCAGGACTCATGCATACCAACCCCAGCTCCTACACCGGTGGTGGCAAACCTATGGCACATGTGTTCTTATGTTTTTAAGACAAAATGTGTTAATGTATGGGTTGTTTTTTCCTAAACTAAAACCTCAGTATTCAGGTTTAATTCCAGTGTTGGGACTTTGCACTAAGTAAATGGGCTTTGGGTTGCAGTTTGGCACTTGGTCTCTACAAGGCTATCACTGTTCTATACTCCTCTCTCCCCCAGGACAAGGGACTGAACCCAGGGCCTGTCCTTGCTAGGCAAGCACTGTACCACTGAGGTACATCAACCCAGTCATTTAATTTCTTTTCATTTCATTTAAACAGGATCTTGCTAAGTTGCCCAGACTGACTGACTTCAAACTTGTTACCCTTCTGCTTCAGCCTCCTGAGTAGCTGGTATTACAGGCATGTGAGCCTGGCTCTGTACTCCGTTGGTTTGTTTTTCCTTTTCTTCTTTATATACGCACTTTTAAAAAGAACCTTTACAAACTGCTTCTAAATAACTTCAGAAATTAGAATAACATGGGTTTATTTGCATGGGGAAAACACATTTTACATGTATTATTAGAAAGATACATGGCTAGCCTATTATTAGAACACATGTCAAGGTCTGACTGTTCAAATTAGAAATAAGTTGTAATATAAATGTATTATTTTCTTTATCATAAAATACTTATTCTATAGTCACAGGATTGGATACCAATGTGATTCCAAGTTTTCACAACTTCCAGTAAAGGATTCTTTGAAGTGTTGATACAGTACTGCTAGTTAGTTACTTTTCAAACATTGCCCCCTGCTGTTCAATGACTTTACTTTGTTTATAATTTCAAAAAAATTTTATTGGAACATTTTAGGTATACAATAATATGACATTCATCATTGGAAATTTGTACCTTTACATAATATATCTTGGTTATTTTTTCCCCATTCCCCTGCCCTCCCTTCAACTCCTCCACCCCTCTCTATTTACAAAGACTTTGTTTCCATTTTTTCCTTTTCTTGTATTAATTCCATTCCCTTCTTTACTTTCCCCAATCCCTCCCACTTCCCCCTCCCCTTTGGACCTTTTCTTTCTATTTCACATTATCTATTATACCTTTTGATCCTTATTTACACTTTCAGTTTCTCACTCCAGAGAAACTATTCGGTATTTACACTTGTGTGTCCTATTCATTTCACTTAAGAGTATCGCCTCACTGTGCATCCATTTAGCTATGTCTCTAATTTCTCATTCTTTATGGCTGAGTAGTATTCCATTTTATTTTTTTTAAAGCCACATTTTCTTTATCCAGTCTCTAGTTGATGGGCAATTGGGCTGTTTCCAAGTTTTAGCTATTACAAACTGTGCCGCTATGAACATGGGTGCACATATATCACTGTGGTATAATTCTTTTGGGAAGATACCCAGCAGGGGAATAGCAGGTCAAATGGGACCTCTAATCCTAATTTTCTTTTTTGGTACCAGAGATCAAACTCAGGACCTTGTGCTTTCGAGGCAGGCGGTGGCACCACTGAGGTAAATCCCCAGCCCCTTGTTCAATGACTTTAATGCTCTTAAAACTGTAACATTTAAAAACTTCAAAACTCTACAGAAACTGGATATTTGATATTAAAGCCTGTTAATTTTAGAAAGTATTAGTTGACATTGTGATTATATTTTAAAAGAGCCTTTATATTTTAGAGATACATTAAATACTTATGGATATAATGTTAGGATGTCTGAGATTTGCCTCAAAATAATCGTTTTCAGAGGTTTAAAACAAACAAGAATGACTATAAGTTAATAACTGGGTTGTTTTGTTTTGTTTTGTTTTTTTGAGAGAGTCTCAGTATTTAATTCAGGCTGGCTTTAAACTCCCTATGTTGCCCAGGCTGGCCTCAAACTTCCAGTGATCCTCCTGCCTCAGCATCCTGAATGCTGGGATTACAGTTGTATGCCACCATGCCTGGCTAAAACGCTTTATTTTTGTCATTTTAAGTATGACAAAATGTTCAATACCAACTTAGTGGGTATTTAATCATAAGCTAGCTTCTGATCATTCCCTTTTCTATTTGTATAGTTTAAGTAAGTGAAGTTATGCTTAACTTGCTATATGACTGCTTAGTCAAAATGGCACTTACAAAGTTGAAATTTCAACTGTTCAGCTAACTCAAAAAGCACAAAGTGCTTGCATGGTGGTGCATGCCTGTAATTCCAGCACTTGGGAGGTTAAGGTAGGAGGATCACCAAGAGTGTGAGAACACAGGGGCCAGGGATTTAGCTCAGTGGTTTCGCCGCCTGCTGCACAAGCACAAGGACCTGAGTTCAATCCCTGGTACCAAAAACAAAAACAAAAAACCTTTCCTTAGGGCCAGGGATTTAGCTCAGTGGTTTCACTGCCTGCTGTGCAAGTGCAAGGACCCGAGTTCGATTCCCGGTACCAAAAAAAAAAAAGAAAAAAAAGAACACAGGCTACACAGTGAGTTCAAGATCAGCCTGAACTACACAGTCAGATGCTATCTCAAACAAACAATAAAACACCAAAAAACAAAACAGAAAAGGACTGAAACTAATATTGTAATTTGTGCGTAAAAGAAAAAAAAAAGGCCATAGAAACATCAATGCTTTGAGTTAAGACATTCTTTTCTGAAACACTGATTCCTAAATAAAGAACATATTATTGGCATTTGTCTTATCTGAATTACGCACAAAATATTAAAATATACAAGAGATTGCCTTAGTGCAGTGAATCTCAGAATATTTTTTACTACAATTTAACTAAAAACAATAATTCTGAAGAAAAAAACCCAGTAATTCTGATCAAAATGTATCAAAAGCATAGTAAGTCTTGTTTTCTTTTCTTTTCTTTTTTTTTGGTACCAGTGATCGAACTCAGAGCCTTATGCTTGCAAGGCAGGCAGTGGACCCACTGAGCTAAATCCCTGGCCCAGTAAGTCTTGTTTTCAATAAAAAAGATATGCACTTAAGGATATATAGTAACATAATAAATGGTGGTTAATAATTATCTTGATACTAAATTTACCTTGTCTGCAATTTTACAGCAGCAGTCCATCCACAAGAAATCTTGAATTAAATCGTCATCTACAACAAAAGATAGCTATGACTTGCCTTTTAAAAATATAATATTGCCTTTCAAAAAAAATAATTTCTAATTCAGAAGATCATAAATAATGCTTGTAAATAAAACAATAATGACAGGGCCAAGGCTGTCTAAGGTGTAATTTTCAGTTCCTGTTTTACCACTGCAAAGACTGTACAAAAAGTGACTGGCATCTCCCCTTCATCTTCCCATCTGATCTGTCTCACTAGGCATATGGTTCAGCTTTAAGGAAGAATAGTATATGTCTTGTTCATGTAGGGTAACTCTAGTTCTTTATTCTTTTCCAAAATCAATTATAAAGGGTAGAAATGGAATCTGATAAAAGATAATTCCACTTTTAAGAAATAATAACTTAATGAATACTTTTTCTAAATATACTTTATTTTTTCGTATGCTTTCTCTTTTTCTATTACTTTCTCTTTTTTAGGTTCCAGTGTATTTTTATTTTTGGAGTCTTTTTCTGTATTTATGTTCCACTTATCTACTTTTATATGAAAATGTCTACATAAAAAGGGTTTAAAATTCACTACCTATTTATCATTAACACTTAATTTTGGGAAAACTGAGCATAAGCTGACAGATCAACAAGCAAAAATGTTAAGAATAGATAGCATCCAGGCCGTGGATTTAGCTCACTGGCTCCATGCTTGCCTTGTAAGCACAAGGTCCTGAGTCTGATCCCCAGTACCGCAAAAAAAAAAAAAGAGATTAGATAGCATCCAAAAAGAAAGTCAAAAACAGTATTTCAACTTTGAAGGCCTCAAATATATAATCTCAAAATATATTGCTAGTTATCAGAACAAAATCTAGGAAAAAACCAAAATATAATCTAGGAAAATCATTTTTCCTCTTCCTCTTTCAGTCTAAGAAAGCGTATATTCAATTTTATATGCTAAAAATATCAATATAATCAAGTATTTGATTACAATTCCTGGAAAGTTCCAAGAATAACTACTGATTTTCTGAGGATTAATTTCTGTCCTAGTAATTCTATTTCTTAAGTTGCATAGAGCTGGGCTGGGATTTAGCTCAATGGCACCATGTCTGCCTCACAAGCACAAGGTCCTGAGTTCGATCCCTAGCACCAGAAAATAAAAAATAAAAATAAAATGGTAGAACCAAGTGTTTCATTTTTTGTGACCAGTTACAGGTATTAAGAAAGTCTGTGGTTAATAGTCTGTTCTACTCTTAATAAGAAGAGAAACACATATTAACCTTCTACATCGTGATGGGGGGACATCTTTGTATCTTTTTCTTCTTTTTTTCTTTTGGTACCAGGGATTGAACTCGGGTCCTTGCGCCTGCGCAGCAGGCGGTGAAACCACTGAGCTAAATCCCCGGCCCCCTTTGTATCTTTTTCTACTTCTATGCCTTACATAATTTTCCTTTCTTCTTTTTTAAAAAAATCTCTTTTCATTTTACTTTTCTTCACATTTTGACCACTTTGACTTAATGTACCTGGCCCTCCTCTATAAACAAGGAGGCCTGCTAGCTCCATCTATCAGACTGCGGTGGCTGCTTGACTTCATTTCCACAGGTACTTACTAGAGCCCATCTATCTTACTCCTTACCCAAAACTGTCTATTTTATTACCATATCTTCAAATAAGGATCCTTTTCTTTTTTGGCTTAGTAGAAATACTATTAAAACGTTACTTTTTGCCTATTGAGAAATTTACCAGCAAAGTAGCACTATCTCATAATCTGAACAAACTCAAACTCAATTTCGTTATATGAACAGGATGATTAAAAAAAGGTATTCCCAAACAGTATTCTCAAAATGTAATATTGAAACTTTTGTAGGCTGATCAATACTTCCAAGGTGCTTGGTCTTAGCTGTTAAAAGTCTTGCAAAGCCCCTCATTCCCAAACCGGTAGCTCACCTGAGTTTTCATGTACCACATTACTTTAGGTCAAACAAAACTCATGACGTGCATCTCAATTTTCAGCACCTACATTTGATACTTAGATTTAAGTAGTCTAGAAGCTAGATGAATGTGAATTTTTAATACACAAGCAAGCAAACCAAACAAAAACCAACATTAAAAAAAAAAACTAAGTAAAAACAAAATCAAATGACTGGACATAGAAATTTAACAAAGAAAATAACACCATTCTTTTTGACCATCATGAAATTGATAAAATAGATGTTTACATTCTAGGTACTTTACAATTATGCTATTAATACTCTCCTTTTTGATAATTATGAAAGTGATAAATTAGAAATTTACATTCTAATTTTTAAGTACTTTATAAAATATTTTAAACCTACCGAATAATTTGAAGAAAGCAGTCATTTCCTGACGCTGTATAACTAGACAAGGCCCTTTTGGGCGTTTAGATTTGTTATTATGTGGACTTTTGTCAGATGCTTGCCAACCATCTTTAAAAATAGTACGCTTGAGATTAATTTTAGGCTGATGTGATCTATTTGACCCTGATTTTACATGAACAGTGACAGTAGGTGGTGTCTCACAACACATCTGATTGTGCCTCATTTTGGTTTCACGGGACTCCTGTAAAAATAAGACATAAAATTATTTACCACACTCACTCATTTCTATATAAAAATGAATTGGATTATACTACCCAATGCAGTTACATAAATGTTACTGAACTTGCTATTTAAAATGTTATTTTTGACAGTGACTCACATTAGAAATTGCTTTTAGAATTTAGTTGTAGGAAAATCTAGCTTCCTTTGGATAACTATATACTTCCTTTTTCCCCAAATATTCTTTCTTTGTTCTTGAGGTACTGGAGATTTAATCAAAGGGCTCATACATGCTAGGCAAGGGCTACACCACTATACTGTATCTCTAGTCCCCTCTTTCTTAGTAGGATAGTATATACTGTTTTGCTTTGGCTATCCCAGAACTCAAAACCAAATCTGAAAGTTAATTACAGAAACCTTGCTGAGTTTATTACTTATTTGGGGCATTCTTTTTTCCTGATTTTTAAATTCTGCTTTAACTGATATAATCTTATAACATGGTTATTAATCATCAGCTCACACTTCTTATAGAATAAAGCAAACTACTGCAGAGCTTAATTATCAAGGTCAAGGATAATATTAAAAACAACCCGTTCCACAAAAGCAAATCTTACTGGCAAATTCCATAGTATATCACAAAATTCATTTAGTCAGTATTTATCAAATAGTTGAAAACATTTCTGTTCAAATCACCAGTGGCCAATGGCTTTTTTTTGGGGGGGGTACCGGGGGTTGAACTCGGGTCCTTGTGCTTGTGCAGCAGGTGGTGAAACCACTGAGCTAAATCCCCGGCCCCAGTTGAAAACATTTCTAGCAAAGAAATACATGATAATGTGCTTTGGAGGATTTTTATAATTTTTTGGTGGTATTTGGGATTGAATCTAGGGCTTTTGCACTGAGCTGCCTCTCCAGCCCTTTTTATTTTAAGACAGAATCTTACTAAGTTGCCAGGCTGGGCTGGAACTTGCAATCATTCTGCCTCAGCCTTCCAGAGTGCTGGGACTGCAAATATCCACCACTATGCTTTACTGCTATAATCTTTGAAGTTGTAAGTATATGAACATACCATGACTGATTATAAGTGCATACCAATATCACAGGCCGTGGTGGAAAATGCCTGTAATCCTAGCTACTTGGGAGGGCTAGGCAGGAGGATCACAAGTTCAAGTCCAACCTGGGCAATTTAGCAAATGCTGTCTATAAAACAGAATAAAAAGGGTTGAGGGTATAGCTCAGTGGTAGAGTGCTTACCTAGCAAGCATGAGGTCCTAGGTTTGATTCTCAGCATCACAAAAAATAAGTAGATAAAAGCATATACAAATATACAGTATTATGATTTAATAAAATCTGAAACAAATTTAATAATCCATCAATATTTAACAATATACATGGTCACTGCTTTAGTAGTAATTGGTAACTCAATTAATAAAGCTAGTATTACTTTTGGGGTCAAAGCATTTCTAGTGTAATGGAAAATGAAGGTATGAAAAGGTGAATCCAACTCTAATGAGAACCTCTGAATCCATGACTCATGGTGACACAGGCAGTCACACTTCCCTTGGTATTCAGTTAGGTACAGACTCTCTCCTTTGTGACCCTCAGAAAATTCCCTGCTTAAGGAAGGAATGGAAAACATTTGGGCATAATGAGGATGGAGTAGCACTGTCCAATAAAGTGATAGCTGCGTAAGTAATTTTATATTTTTAAACACACATTTATTTATTTATTTTTTGGTACCGGGGATCGAACTTGGGTCCTTGCGCTTGTACAGCAGGCAGCGAAACCACTGAGCTAAATCCCTGGCTTAAACACAGATTTAAAAAGAAAAGACAAATTTAATATATTTTGATATAACCAAATATATGCAAAGTATTGATTTATTTTATAATGGTGGCAACATTTTGCATTGATTAAAGATAGGAAAAGCAGGCTGTACAGAGAGAGTTTGGGCCAAGTAAAAGTAGGAAAAAGAAAAAAAATACACCCTACAGCACAGGGTAGGCTACAATGAAGAGACACAATAGTCTGTATCCGAAATAGTTAAAATGTAACCAATATAAAAAAAGAATGAGATATTTTATGTTTTAAATCTTTGAAATCTGGATGCTGGTATGTATTTTACACTTCCAGCTTATTGCAATTTTGATGCTTTTGTGTACATGTGTGGTAGTAGGGACCGAACGCAGGTCCTCTTGCATGCTTAGCAAGTATGCTACCACTGAGCTGTATCACCAGCCCTGATACTAATTTAACAGTTTCTGTGAAATACAGCCCTATCAAAAAAACAAACAAAAAAAAAAAAAGAAAAGGAAAAAATATTTTACATTCCTTCAGTTTTAGACTTCAGTAAAAATTTAGTTCTTCAGTTGCACCAGCTACATTTCAAGTGTTTAACAGCCACATGTGGCTAGTGGCTTCATTACAACAGTAATTAACAAAGAAGTAGGCAGGGAAAAATAGCTCTATAATTGTTTCTCTTCCCTCCCCTCCTTCTTTCTTCCTAGATCCTAAAGTCCAGCCAAATTGAAGGCAGTTATGGAGTTGAGGGTGTGTGGTGCTACAGACTCCATAGAAAGATGAATAGGTGGTAAATTGAGCCTTGAGACTTGCGTTAAGAACTTTATGCTTTTCCTTACCCATCTCACTTGGGAGACAGCTGGAGCCTCATCTGCATCTTTTCCAAGTAAGAGCAATCTTATGTCTACATGGGAAAAACTACTAGTGGTCAGGCTACTCAAACTGCGACAGGAAAGCATCTTAGGGGAGGGATGCAACAAATACAGAGCAACCCTGGCACATATTCCAGGAGGTTTTAACTCAACGGTAAATGATTCTAAAGCGTTTTTATATAAAAGCAACCATGGATAATCAAGAAATATCATGCAATTTTTCAATGAATCAAAAAGTAAAATGTTATGCTTACTGTAGGTTTCCACAATATTCTGTGAAACCCTCATTATGTAGGTATTGGGATACCACACATAAAATTTGAGAAAACTGAAAGGAAATATCTTAAATTCCTAAATACAAATTCATTGAAATCAAACAGTGGTAGAAAAGTTGAGGAGAAAAAGCTGAAGGAGACAAGTTATCAATGCTACAGTCTTGGTGAAATTCCACCGTGAGGTAGTTTTAAATTTTGCTCTTGGTTTAGCTACACCAAGAGAAGAGTTCTGTAAGAGGAAAAGAAGGGAAGACAAATTAAAATGTGAGCCATTTCTCAAAAGCAAGAGACAGGGAAGGAAGAACCTGGAGAAACCGTGATTAATGGCAAAATCCTTTAATGACTTTTTACATGGATTCTACCAACATTAAAAAAAAAAAAATCACCACGGGACTGAGGTGTAGTGGGTAAAGCTCTTGACTAGCAGGTATCTGAGACCCTAGGTTGGATCCCTAGCACTGCAAATCATCATCATCATCATCATCATCATCATCATCATCATCATCGACCATCCAAATTCATACTTGTATAGCATTCCTGCAATCCTACACAAGTAATGTGGGGATTCATTTTCTTATATAAAAAACCTAATGGCAAATCTACTGCCAACTCAGGAAGGGAGGTGAACTTTAGCCTCCTTATACTTCCAATCAAATACCGAGCACTTATTTAATACGTGCCAGTCACTGTGAATATGAATGATCTCATTGAATTTTCAAGACATTTCAATAAGTTTTTTTTTCTTCTAGGATACGCCTAGGGATTGAACGCAGGCCTAACCACTGAGCTGCATCCACAGCCCCGCCCCTTCCCTTTTAATTTTTTTTTTTTTTTTTTTTGAGACAAGGTTTCTCAAAGCTGCTAAACTGCTCACGCTGACCTCCAACTTGGAATCCTCCTGCTTCAGCCAGTGTCGAATGCTTCGCACAAACGAAGAGTGTGTCACCATTATTCTTGTATCATCTCTGACCGTAAGGGTATCTTTCAAGGAAAGAAGGGTTGAGTGAGCTAAATTTCAACTCAACTGCTAAATATAACTGAAATGTTAAATTTATATTAATAACAAAGCTGGCTGGCATTTTAATTTTATTTTTATTTATTTATTTTTAAAGCAGTGGCCAAGTTTATTCAAGAAAGCTACAATGAAGAGCTGGGGAGAAACTCACTCGGCAGAGCGAGTTTGGGCAGAGCAAAGAGAAAAAGACGGTAAAAGCAAACAAAGCGAAACACAGCGTGGGCTACCGTGGAGTTAGGACAGCCTGGCCAGTATTTTAAAACATGCTTATGTTACAGGTTTGTAAACAGACGGAGACGATCCCCATTTCAAAACAGCACAAGCGTCTTTCAATGTGAAATGAAAGATTTCTTTTCCCTACTAGAGTGAGGCTGGGGGCCTCCAGTCGCGGTGGATGTCCTGGAGAAGAAAACACTGACTTCCACACTTTGAGCACCGGGCTGAGGACGCGGCGCCGAGCGAGCCCGCCGCGCAGACGCCCGGCCCAGGGCCGCGGGGAGGCCGGGCTCGCTCAGGCGCCCGCCGCCTCCCAGCCCACGCGCGGGCTCCGGCCGCGGGCTCCGGCCGCCTCCCCCGGCCCCGCGACCCCCGCGCTCCCCCACGCCCAGGCCGCGACCCGCCAGGCACCTGCGGGCTTCACCGCGGGAGGAGCGTCGACGAAGCCGCCGCCGCCGCCGCCGCCTCCTCACGCAGGGGGGCGCGGGCTGCCGACAGGGAGCCGAGGGCGAGGCACAGCCGACACCGGACGTTCGTCCACGGGTCCGGCCGCGCGTGCGAGCGAAGCAGCTGCGGACCCGGGAGGGAAAGCGTGAGCCTGCCGGTTCCTCTCAGCTGCAGCCGCAGCTCGGGCCTCGGGCGGTTGCGCGCCAGGAGCTCGCACCGGACCGCAGGCTCGTGGACTGCCCGCCCCGGGCGCGCGGCCAGCAGAGCCAATCAGCGCGCAGGGCCGCCGGGGACGGGGGGCCGCCGGGTCCCCGCCCCCACCGCCAAGCGCCGCCGCGGCCGCCCGCGCTGCCTCCTGCCGTTAACCGGAGTTCAGGTCCGCGTAGCCCGCGCGACTTTCCCACCCGACCGCTTTCCCGGGGCTCCCAGACTGTCGGTGTTGAGCCTTTGGGCTTGCCTCTGAGATGGTGCCGCGCCCCAGAAGCGAACGTTGAGGCACAACTGACACGCACATCCAAGTACACAGAAAGGGGGAGCACTGTGAAGTACTAGTCAGGCCTACAATGTCTACAGTGGAGGCTTTTCCCCTTCCTTCGTCCTGGCCCTTGCCCAAGGCCCGGTGACAAATGCTTGCTGAATAAATAGGATTCTTCACAGCTCCTCTCCCAACGGCCTTTCCCTTTCTAATGTACCAACTGCCCCCACTTCAGTGTTAACACATCGCACTCTTGTTTTCATGGTGCGAGTCTGTAATTTGTAATTACTGGATAATATTCCAGAACGGATGAACCATATTTATGTCATTCGGCGAAACCACTGAGCTAAATTCCCGGCCCAATTTTTGGGTTTTTTGGTGGGGTTTTTTTGGTACCTGGGATCAAACTCGGTACCTTGCGCTTTTGAGGCAGGCACGGAGCCACTGAGCTAAATCTCAGGCCATTTATGTCATTCTTATAGTTACATTGTTTCCAGATTTTTTGCTGCTATAATTATTACTTAAAAAGCAAGGTAAGCCTCGTCTTACTTAAAAAGCAAGGTAAGCCTCGCCTATTTGTGGTATTTCTTGGCAATTAGTTGCTCAGTAACACTGAAGATGGAATGTTAGTTCCCTTCTTTCTTAGATCCTCACACAGGAAGATGATGACAAAAATTAATACATGTAAGAGAAGGCAATCTGAGAAATAGTTTTTCCTGACAAAGCCCTCTGACATTTTCTTGCTGGCCCTTAAATGGGAGAACAGGTCAAGGGGCATCAACTGGTTGTGAAAATCTTCAGGAAATGGCTGCTTCAAGTTTTATGCTTCTGGCTTTTCCTGAGGATCCTCTCTTTTGCAAGGCAGGAGGGTTTCCTGTGATTACTGACTTCCAGCCTTTAGTATAATTGACTTATTGAATACTGAATATCCACTGCATGGACTACACTATTTCAAAATGAGTCATGGAAAATAGCACAATAATGAAAACAGCATGGCAATACCTTTCTAAAACTTCCTAGCCAGGTATAGACACAAGTAAAATACCAGGCACAGGAGCTATACCAGGGAGATGCATAAACTGTACAATGCAAAAGAAAAGTAGTTGAGTGAAGGTACTCTTTAGGATCCCCAAATCTTCACAATTCAGTGTTTTTTTTGTTTTGTTTTTTGGTACCGGGGATTGAACTCCGGTCCTTGCGCTTGCACAGCAGGCAGTGAAACCACTGAGGTAAATCCCTGGCCCTAGTGTTTTATAAAATTTGCATATTAAAGGCAGCAATTGGATATAAATGATAGCTATTGGGGGCAACTCACTATTTTAAGTTTTTGGCTTGAAATTAATTCACGAATGTTCTCATTCCTAGCTTTTTAAACTATTTTTAGTGCATAAAGTCAATGTACTTGAGAATGGAGTAATTGGTCTGAATTCAGGTACTGTTTTACCTGCAGCATGAATGCAGGCAACTTACTATGCCTCAGTAAATGTAAATGCAGGATGACACCACCTACTTTGTAAATGTGTTTGTGATAAATTTCATAGTGTGGGTAAACTGTCTAGCAATGAGGAGGACATTGGTAGGTATTCTTGTCTCTCTGGGACTTAGGGCTTCAGGCATTTATTCATTTATTTATTTTTTGTGCAAGATCTAATAAAAAACAAAAATAGGAATGGTTGCTTTCCACATTTTCCGGGTTGTGAAAGTTAGCCAGGATTATCTGGGGTGTGGTTCTAAGCTGCATTAGTGCAGCAAATACAAAACGTTGTCCTCCTCACAGGCCAGAAGGCAGTGTGCACAGGCTGTACACCCATCTGGGTTGCTGCCTCCTCCAGCAACCAGGCAGGCAAATCACCTGCACCATGGTACAGGTCAAACCAGGACATCAAGGTGGCTCTTCTCTGACCAACCGGGATTGTGCCCACCTGGTGGTGCTTGGCGGTGAGCAGCAGAGCTGGAGTGTGGGCCAGACCTCCACACTGCACTCTGATACAGGGCTAGCTTACTGAGAGTCTGCTGAGCCTTAATACTGACAGTGGGTGCAGTGGATATCGAGAAAGGCTCTACTCAGATGTGGGCAGGTGCTGCATCACCACACTGCTGGAGCTTGACCAATCTCAGAATACCACAGAAAGAAAGTGGTGATAAACACAACAGGAAGTTGGAATGGTGCGGACAATCCATACACCAGTCTCTCATGTATCCAAACCCACAGTTAATGACAATAACAACAACGATACAAATAAAGGTACAGACAAAAAGCTGCGCTTAGGTTGTGCTGCCACCAGCCAGGAAGGGTGTGTTGAGTGGCATGGGATACAGCTAGTCTTTCTTCAAGTCCCTGGATTCAAAGAGCTTCAGCCGTTCCTGCACTGTCAGGCCTTCCTTCAGACTCTTGGACCTAATATTTCTGAGTTGCTGGGTGACACAGGATCTGTCTTTCTTCAGAAAGTCAGGGTTGCTTTTAGATTTCATTATGTCGTATCCTGCCACAGCAGTGCTCTCAGGGGACTTTTCCCCCAGTGCTTCTGTAGCTGCTTTCAGCTGCTCTCTCAACCTGCTGATATCACAGTCTGCCTTGGCCTTCGCGATGCTGAGCTCCGTATAAATGTCTTTGTACTTGTCACTAGCATACTTTTTATCCCGAAGTGCTGTCTGGAGCTCGTCCTTGGGAGAGCTGATCTCCTGTTTCAGATACTGTATTTCTGACTCCTTGACCCACAATAAGACCTCTAGCTCGTACGCGTCTTTGCCCTGTGTGAGGGGTGACCCAGCAGCCTCCCCATCGCCGTCCCTGGTCAGTAGTGTCCGTAACCATGTGATCTCTGCAGCTAGGCGGTTATTCACTTCCTGGTTGTGGGCGCTGAGCTCCTAGTTCTCGCACTGGCACTGCTGCAGGGCCTGCCGCTCAGCCTCCAGTGCCTGGGCCAGGTGAGCATTCTCCAGGCACTTCTGCGAATACTGCTCTGAGAGGACCTCCAGCTCCCGCTGCACCGACTGCAGCTCCTCCAGGTACTGCTGCCTCAGGGCTTCAATGTCTGAGTTGATACTGCTGATTTGAGATCGCTGGCTCTTTTCCAGCTCATGCTCCATCTCCTCCCGGTGGGCATTCTTCATGGCTTCAATGGCTGAGATAGTGGCAGCAGTCTCCTCAGCCAGGAGGCGGTCCTTTTCCTCCCGAAGCTTCTCTAGCTCCCTCTGGTGCTGCCTCTGAAGGTCTTCAATCTTCTTCTGATGCATCTCCTCCATTGCAGCAAAGCCTCGCTCACATGTGGCCTGTAGCACATAGCCCTCCCGGGCACTTTGCTCATGGCCCAGTGCCACCCTCAGCTGGTCCTGTAAGAGCCAGTTCTGTTCCAGAAGGTCTGAGGCTTCCTTCTGGCTCTGCTCCAGCTCCTTCTCCAGCAGAGAGGTCAGTTCATGTGTAGAGAGCCGGTCACTTCCGTCCTCAGAGGACAGGTGCAAGGGGGCAATGGGCACCTGCTTTTCCTCTTGGAGAGGGGTGGTCTCCACCTGATGCCACCGCTGCTCAGTTTCCATGTTGACATTTTGCGTCTTAAGGTGAGTGGCAATTGGCAGCCCTGGGCTCCGGTCCACCTCCATGCGCAGGGCTGCTTCCTCGATGCTTGTTCCATCCACAGCATCCACCATCCCAAAGCGCTTATGGCGTTCTTCCTGCCTCCGTGCACTCTCCCGCTCTAGCTCACCCGGCTCCATCTCGGGGTACCCAGGCTCACGAGCATCAGGGTGCCCCATGTTATTGGCCCTCTCCTGAGCCAGGGCCTGTTGGATAGGGCGGAACTCAGCCCAGTCAAAGGTCTTGGAGCGGCCCTCTTGCCTTCGCTCCCTAGCGTGGCTCCTCTTCTGCTCTGGATCCAGATCCCCTGGCTCTGCCTCTTGGTTTTCATTTGGCCTTGGGCAAGTATCAAAAGTTGAGCTGCTCTTGTTCTTTTCCTCAGGCAATGAACTGGTCATGTCTGAGGTGGTGGTTGGGTGCACATGCTTCATGATGGTCTGGATCCAATTTTGCCGGATTCCAGATGTCATGGCTGACAGGGTGAACTCACCCTCCTTTGTGTGTATCTGGAAGCCATAGTTTCTCTGGACTAGATACTCTGTGACATCATAACATGTGGACAAATCAATTTCCCCATCCAAGTCCGCTGCCTCCTCAGCCACAGAGTCCCTGTGGTATCTCAGGCTCTGATCAGACAGGACAAACCAGTGCTTCTTCCACTGACCATCTTCGTACTGCTTGGTCAGCCAGCCTTTCTTGAAATTCAGCAGGTCAAGCCGCTTCCTGGAGAATGCCCTTTTCACTGCGGCCCTGGCGAGTGTCACTGGATGGTGAGGGCCTGGCCAACAGGTTTGTCTCCATGTGCTCTGCCTCCTCAATGTCCAATGCCTCAAATTTCTCAATTACCTGGGACCTTCTGTTGTTTGGGGTGCTAGGGCTAGGAGGGGAGTGAGGCGGAGGCAGCTGCTGCTCCTCAGCCTTCAAGTCCTGCTTGGTCTTTTCCAGTGAGAAGTAGCCACTCTCCACCCACACTTTGCGGCCACAGTCCATGCAGTCGCTACTCATGGCGCTCTCCTCTTCTTTGCTTTCCAGCCCTGGTTCCCGCAGGGAGCTGGCAGAAGGCTGGCTTTGGCTGGGACTCTGAGCTGGACTCAGGTTGCTCCCATCAGGCTGGTCCTTGGCCCTCATTTCTTCCTGCCAGAGCGTGGACTAGGTGGTGGGGACTTTTTCTGCACTGGGGCTGCTGCTGCTGTTGCTGGTGGC